TCTTCTATAGTTGAAACTTTTAAACTTTACTTTACTGTAGAGAAAACTATTAAACTTAAATTTACAATGGTAAAATGGTAAAACGTTGGGAAAATATAGTTAACTATATAGTAAACTATATTTTTCTGTTGATAGGGTTAAAATTTCATAAAATATTGTAATGTACAAGTAACATTTTCCTATGTGCTCAACTTTGTAAAAATCTGTCCAGCTGTTGTCGGGGTTTTTTATTCGTAATATAAAACATTATAATGGCTACTTGATGAAATATAAAATATTTTCAATATATGTTTGAAAAAATAATTAAACTAAAAGTGTGCTATCAAAATTAAAGACTGAAATGTTTTATGTATATTTTTAAGAATGAGTCTATCTGTAACATATCGGTATGAATATGTATGAATTTTTTATTTATGAAGTTATTTCTGTCAAACAAAGATTTTCAGTGTAAGAATAAACCTTACAAAATGTACACTGGTACATCGGAGAGTATATCTACCGCTCATTTCGGCAAACCAATAGTAGACTCTTTCAAGCAACAGCGTATCTGAGGCTCATTAAAGGTACTTGGACACAGATTTGAAGTTAATATTTTTTCAATAATATTACTACTTATATATTTTAATAGCATTTCACACAAAAATTAGTTAAAAATCTTACTTCATTTAAAAGTTATTCAAATTTTATTTTTTAGGCGGGTTTGATTGACACATCCTTGCACGTTTACAAAATTTAACTTTATTCTTAATCCTAAGGAAAAGTGACAATCCTGTTGTGTATTTATGAAAAATATTAATACATGTACTATAATCCAGAAAAGTCAGAGTTGACATGTTCGAAAGAAAAACAAAAACAATATATTGTCAGTCAGTGCAGTTGTGGTGAGCAGACTTTGGCGATTGAACGCACCCGGTGAATCGTAAACATCAAACAATAACAGAATTCGTGCCCTGTTTACAAAAACTGTGTACATAACACAAGTGTGCTCGATTTGCTAAACTCTGTACACAACGGAATGACGATACTTGTGAAGGAGATTTGCTTTCTAACATTTCTACTCTGAATAAAATAATTTTTCTGGATTTAAGTTTTAATGTTTCTCATTAATACACAACAAGATTACCACTTTTCCTAATTAGGATTAAGAATAAAGTTAAAATTTGTGAAAATGCAAGTATGTGTCAATCAAACCCGCCAAAAAATTTAAAGTTTCAATAACTTTTAAATGAAATAAGATTTTTAATTAATTTTTGTGTGAAATGCTATTAAAATTATATAATTCCTGATATTATACAGAAAATATTACCTTCAAATCTGTGTCCAAGTACCTTAACCCCCCCCCCCTCCTTTTTTCAATTGTCAGTTTTCCGAGACCTGGAGACGTTATTTTTTTAAAATCTGTAGTCAATCATTTTTGTGGTTGTTGTGTACAACTCCCATTAACAAAAAAGAAAGAAAGAAAAGATACAGACGTATATCATGTTTTGTAACTGAAATTGAATGTTGGATTGTAGATGGTATTGATATATAATTTACTCGTTATTGAAAGTAAAAAAATCGCAGTGGATTTAATATAAAAATACGTCTAAAAATACCCCAAGGAACTCCTAAATAGACCAACTTCTTAAAATACCATAGATGAAACAAACAGGTTTGTTTAAAAGGACAATGAATATTTAGAGTTTACAGAAATAGAACACCTAAGTTTACAGAAATAGAACACCTATTTTCCAGATTATTGCATCATTTCCTGGTTGAACCAAGATGGAGAAGAGCAATAAATGGCTAGGCGTTAGCTGATTGGTTGAATTAGGCTATGTATAAATTTACAGTTTATGCTAAAATATCAATCGTAACTACTCGGCCATTTCCGTAACCATAAATAAAAAATCTTTTCATCCGTTACGGAAAAGGGCGAGCGTGATCCAATGCCCGATGTACATAAAACAGGCGCCAGGCGCCCTCTCTAGACCCCTATAGTACATATAAGTATCAGAGAATAGGGTTGGATTTGGCGCCCTGGCGCCCAGAAACGGTGTAAATTGGGTCCCTTTTGAGACCGGAAATCAACAGGGGCGCCTTCGAGCCCCAGTATCTTGGGCTCCCCTAAGTGGCACAATTCCTAGTTTGGGCACCAGGCGCCCTCTCTAAACCCCTATAGTACATATAAGTATCACAGAATAGGGTTGGATTTGGCGCCCTGGCGCCCAGAAACGGTGTAAATTGGGTCCCTTTTGAGACCGGAAATCAACAGGGGCGCCTTCGAGCCCCAGTGTCTCGGGCTCCCCTAAGTGGCACAATTCCTAGTTTGGGCGCCAGGCGCCCTCTCTAGACCCCTATAGTACATATAAGTATCACAGAATAGGGTTGGATTTGGCGCCCTGGCGCCCAGAAACGGTGTAAATTGGGTCCCTTTTGAGACCGGAAATCAACAGGGGCGCCTTCGAGCCCCAGTGTCTCGGGCTCCCCTAAGTGGCACAATTCCTAGTTTGGGCGCCAGGCGCCCTCTCTAGACCCCTATAGTACATATAAGAATCAGAGAATAGGGTTGAATTTGGCGCCCTAGCGCCCCAAAACCAAGTCAATTGGGTCCCTTTTGAGACCGGAAATCAACAGGGGCGCCTTCGAGCCCCAGTATTTCGGGCTCTCCTAAGTGGCACAATTCCTAGTTTGGGCGCCAGGCGCCCTCTCTAGACCCCTATAGTACATATAAGTATCACAGAATAGGGTTGGATTTGGCGCCCTGGCGCCCAGAAACGGTGTAAATTGGGTCCCTTTTGAGACCGGAAATCAACAGGGGCGCCTTCGAGCCCCAGTGTCTCGGGCTCCCCTAAGTGGCACAATTCCTAGTTTGGGCGCCAGGCGCCCTCTCTAGACCCCTATAGTACATATAAGTATCACAGAATAGGGTTGGATTTGGCGCCCTGGCGCCCAGAAACGGTGTAAATTGGGTCCCTTTTGAGACCGGAAATCAACAGGGGCGCCTTCGAGCCCCAGTGTCTCGGGCTCCCCTAAGTGGCACAATTCCTAGTTTGGGCGCCAGGCGCCCTCTCTAGACCCCTATAGTACATATAAGTATCACAGAATAGGGTTGGATTTGGCGCCCTGGCGCCCAGAAACGGTGTAAATTGGGTCCCTTTTGAGACCGGAAATCAACAGGGGCGCCTTCGAGCCCCAGTGTCTCGGGCTCCCCTAAGTGGCACAATTCCTAGTTTGGGCGCCAGGCGCCCTCTCTAGACCCCTATAGTACATATAAGTATCACAGAATAGGGTTGGAATTGGCGCCCTGGCGCCCAGAAACGGTGTAAATTGGGTCCCTTTTGAGACCGGAAATCAACAGGGGCGCCTTCGAGCCCCAGTGTCTCGGGCTCCCCTAAGTGGCACAATTCCTAGTTTGGGCGCCAGGCGCCCTCTCTAGACCCCTATAGTACATATAAGTATCAGAGAATAGGGTTGAATTTGGCGCCCTAGCACCCCAAAACGGTGTCAATTGGGTCCCTTTTGAGACCGGAAATCAACAGGGGCGCCTTCGAGTCCCAGTATCTCGGGCTCCCCTAAGTGGCACAATTCCTAGTTTGGGCGCCAGGCGCCCTCTCTAGACCCCTATAGTACATATAAGTATCACAGAATAGGGTTGGATTTGGCGCCCTGGCGCCCAGAAACGGTGTAAATTGGGTCCCTTTTGAGACCGGAAATCAACAGGGGCGCCTTCGAGCCCCAGTGTCTCGGGCTCCCCTAAGTGGCACAATTCCTAGTTTGGGCGCCAGGCGCCCTCTCTAGACCCCTATAGTACATATAAGTATCACAGAATAGGGTTGGAATTGGCGCCCTGGCGCCCAGAAACGGTGTAAATTGGGTCCCTTTTGAGACCGGAAATCAACAGGGGCGCCTTCGAGCCCCAGTATCTTGGGCTCCCCTAAGTGGCACAATTCCTTGTTATGGCGCCAGGCGCCCTCTCTAGACCCCTATAGTACATATAAGTATCACAGAATAGGGTTGGATTTGGCGCCCTGGCGCCCAGAAACGGTGTAAATTGGGTCCCTTTTGAGACCGGAAATCAACAGGGGCGCCTTCGAGTCCCAGTATCTCGGGCTCCCCTAAGTGGCACAATTCCTAGTTTGGGCGCCAGGCGCCCTCTCTAGACCCCTATAGTACATATAAGTATCACAGAATAGGGTTGGATTTGGCGCCCTGGCGCCCAGAAACGGTGTAAATTGGGTCCCTTTTGAGACCGGAAATCAACAGGGGCGCCTTCGAGCCCCAGTGTCTCGGGCTCCCCTAAGTGGCACAATTCCTAGTTTGGGCGCCAGGCGCCCTCTCTAGACCCCTATAGTACATATAAGTATCACAGAATAGGGTTGGATTTGGCGCCCTGGCGCCCAGAAACGGTGTAAATTGGGTCCCTTTTGAGACCGGAAATCAACAGGGGCGCCTTCGAGCCCCAGTATCTTGGGCTCCCCTAAGTGGCACAATTCCTAGTTTGGGCACCAGGCGCCCTCTCTAAACCCCTATAGTACATATAAGTATCACAGAATAGGGTTGGATTTGGCGCCCTGGCGCCCAGAAACGGTGTAAATTGGGTCCCTTTTGAGACCGGAAATCAACAGGGGCGCTCTCGAGCCCCAGTATCTCGGGCTCCCCTAAGTGGCACAATTCCTAGTTTGGGCTCCAGGCGCCCTCTCTAGACCCCTATAGTACATATAAGTATCAGAGAATAGGGTTGGATTTGGCGCCCTGGCGCCCAGAAACGGTGTAAATTGGGTCCCTTTTGAGACCGGAAATCAACAGGGGCGCCTTCGAGCCCCAGTATCTCGGGCTCCCCTAGGTGGCACAATTCCTAGTTTGGGCGCCTGACATTAATTAATAAATCTGTGTTTTTACATCGGGTTCGATAAACACTTAAATATAGTCGATAAATATTTTTGTTATTGGCCGCTAGCTTATTGGCCGCTAGCTTGACTTTAGTAAGCGCATGCGGAACGAAAGTGCGCGAAGAAGCAGAAAATCCAATAATGTAACTTATTGTGAAATTGTAAGTTTTTAAAGCAATGCTTTGGAGCTTATGTAATCTTATAATGTTAAGAAACTTTTAATTTTCACAGAGTTGACCAGTCAAATAAAAAATTAAGGAAAACTACGTACAATACTGTGTTTTTCACCTGTGCAAGGAATATTTTAATGTAACGTTACTGATTTGCAGTCTATTTTTAATATATTCGATCAGTGCATACTATTAGTGCAAGATATATTACTGTAGTCAGCGGCGACTCACACAAATTGTTCCGACGAAAATAGTTCCATCATTAATAAGTAGATACAACATAATTGTTCATGATAAGAATAATGTTGTGTATGTCATACGTAAAAGAAACCAAAATTAATGTTAATTTTTCCTCCAAAGATCACTTTCCCCCCTAAATGCAAATAAAAAATGTCAATATTCCTACGCTCGCTCCCTCCTCAGCTTTTTAAACATGTTTGATAACAGAGAATATATAGGTCATTCTTCGGTTGATATTTTTTCACTGATGAATTGATTATACTAATGTCAACAACTGTTAAATGACGGAATTTTCAATCCCTGAGCAGATTCCTGCACGTGTGTAGACAAACTACACATCGGGAGAGTACGTGTAAAATGTGTAACAAAACCCGAACTGGCCGGGGATTTCTAAACTGACAGTCGTTTAATTTTTATGAATCAAAATTTGTATTCATGTGATCTAATTATGAAAAAAAGTTCTGTCTGCCATCGTAACTTCTCTGTTTGCGGGAGTCCGTTTGACAACTCCATCGCACGTGTGTATAGACCAAGGCTAACTGGTCTTGCGGACATAGGTATGTGTACTGTTTGTTAGCATGGTTAGGAGACTGGGTGACCGTAATGCTACGGACTGACGAAATTTACACAAGTTCTATAACTAGACAGTGCAGTTTTATTTTTACAAATGTCATTAAACACTGTTAAACATATTAAATCTAAAAGTCGAATATCTTTGGATATGGGGTAACCCATATCTATTCTTGTTTATAGGCTAGCATTAGCAGAAGGTACAAATACAGGTCAGATATCAGGCTAAGCTAAAAAAAAAGTCTTAAGTTCCATTAGCCGTCTCACTTCAAAGACAGAACAACTTGTTTTGAAGACTAGCAATTGTTTGAAGACTGGCAATCACGTTTAAAAAAATATTTAATAAAAAATTTACCTTCGTTTTAAATTAAAATTGGCAGTTTGAAATATGTATTTTCATTAGGTTTACCTAAAAATTAAGTCCCGATACATCCCATTTTACTTTACTACATTTGTAAAGGGTCATTAGAAGAATTTGTTTCTCAATTATGAGAAATCTGTAGGCAACTTTCATTTTCAAGATCTTCACCTTAATGCAAAATAGTTTAAAGTACAATACAAAAAAAAATTTAATGAGCACCTTTTTACCACTTGATATTGATTTAACCGTGTTTAATGTGCCAATTTTCACATTAAAAATGAGACTCTGATGCTGGTCCTTCCAAATCACTGTCCAAACCAAATTAAATGACCTGAAAAATCCTCGACTATTAAAGTTTATAACTTTATACAAATTTGATTCAATTTTAGTCTTAAATCAAGTTCCATTTTACATCATAAATTCCTTTCATTTTTTCCCACCCTGCATCTGATTATTTCTCACTCCTTGGCTTATCTTCTCTAATTTTACAGCCTCCAGATGTAAAGATAATCAGTTTCAATTTGTTTTCAAATTTCCTGAATACAGGTGAGTGTAATCAAGTGACCCAACTTCCCCACCCAATGGCTTTTAAATCTGTAATGCATGTTTTAGAACCATGCAATAAAGTTTTGTGTTTTTATTTCAGAAGATTAGACAATGTCGGACTTGGAACAGACACAAGCAATTTATTTAGAGGATTATGATGAAGAGACAGATGAAGAAAATACAGATGGAGAGAAGAAAATAGTAAGATTATTTGACTTTTCTCAGCTAATTGTCCTTGTTTTTGATTTTTATGTATATTTCAGCCAAAATGAAAATGTATCAGCGAAGCTGTAATAAATAAAAAAAAAAATCAGAAAAAACTATAAAATATAAATAATATAGTTTATGAACATTTACTTTCCATATTGAATGACTTGATAATGATTATTTTGGAATTTGTCTCAGGTCTCCTTTTTAAAAGTTTTAAAGCAAGAGGGGTTTCCAGAAAAGCTTTTCCCTTTGTATGAGGGTGAGTTTTCCCCAAATGTTTGTATATTTGTACATGTATAGTGTTTTTGGAAATGCTTTATGAAAATACGAAAGCATTCGATAGATTCTTTCAAGATCATTTCAAGTTCTTAATTTATTTAAAGTCAAAGTAATTGAAAATTGGAAAAGGTCAGGTGATTGATACCATCTATTTATTTCCTTGTACCTTTTTGAAGAATATTTGTTTAAATTCTCTTTCATAATTAGTTTCCTAAGATTTAGTTTTCTTATGTTTAAAAGGTGATAATGTCATTGGGCGTCAAGAAGATGTATGTAACATTGCAATTCCCTTAAAGGTAATATTCATATGCAAGAGAGCTTCAATTAAAGAAAAAAGTACCCGAGGTAATGATTATTTTGCTTGTTCAAAGTAAAAATTTTACTATAAAAAACTAAATTTTTTTTAAGGCCTTGTCTAGACAGCATGCATGCATTGAAATACGAGGAGAAAACCATCTAATTTATGATAAGGGAAGCAGGAATAAAACCAGAAAGGGCAAGGTTAGTTAAAAAAAGAAAGACCCTAGAGGACAAGGTTGGTATTGAATAAAACCAGAAAGGGCAGGATTAGTTATAAAAATAATAAAACTGAAAAGGACAATTTTCACATCCTGAATATTAAATCTTGACAAACATGTAGTAATGTTACATCGCTTACAGCATTGAACCCCCTCTTCTTTGTTAAATAATACATGCATGTGATTGGTATTCTTACAGTTATTTTTGACTCCACAAGTTCGCTATGAGTTGAAAGATAAGGATAATTTACTCTTTGGGGATGTGAAGTGTGTTTACATCATTGGTGAACATGTAAGTAAAATAAAAATGGTTCATTCATGACAATTGTTCTGGTTCATATTTTTATATACTCAATTTTAAAGACCTGTACATGAGAATTTACTCATTTTATAACTCATTTAATTTTGAAATTTGCAGGACAATCCAGAGGACTCTGAGACAGGATCTGAATCCGGATTCCAGACAGCTCCTACTGATTTGTTGGATAATAAAATAAAAACCTCCCGTGTAACCACTCTTGTGTACGAGTCAGAGGAAGAGGAGTATGAGAGTGATGGCAGTGTGGATCTCCTACAACCTACACAGGTAAAGGATAACAGATCTCCTACAACCTACACAGGTAAAGGATAACAGATCTCCTACAACCTTCACAGGTAAAGTATAACAGATCTCCTACAACCTACACAGGTAAAGGATAACAGATCTCCTACAGCCTACACAGGTAAAGGATAATAGATCTACAACCTACACAGGTAAAGACTAACAGATCTCCTACAACCTACACAGGTAAAGGATAACAGATCTCCTACAACTTACACAGGTAAAGTATAACAGATCTAATACAACCTACACAGGTAAAGGATAATAGATCTCCTGCAACCTACACAGGTAAAGGATAACAGATCTAATACAACCTACACAGGTAAAGTATAACAGATCTCCTACAACCTACACAGGTAAAGTATAACAGATGTCCTACAACCTACACAGGTAAAGGATAACAGATCTCCTGCAACCTACACAGGTAAAGGATAACAGATCTCCTACAACCTGCACAGATAAAGAACAACAGATCTCCTACAACCTACACAGGTAAAGGGTAACATTTCTGTAGTTGACATGTCAGACTACAAGGAATTCACATATTCATAATTTTTCTGATCCATACAGGCTACATGTCAGAGTTTGAACATAACTAGATGTGATTGGACTTTGAACAATTAATTTATTTTCAATTTTAGGCTTTTATACAGAAACAAGATGGAAACAAGAAAAGCCGAATTAATTTTGACTTGGACACAGATGAAGAAAGTGGTAAGATGTACTTAGATGTGATGTCTGAATGATGATATCATTGACAATTATACATGTGTATAGTGTATTTTTAAATTGTTTTAAGAACCTGATTGGTTGTTATTTACAGACAGGAAAAGCCCAGACATAACTGTGAAAGAAACTCCAGCCCCTAGTAGGACCAAAGGTTGGTGTTTATATTTGGGCATGGTTCAGTATATCGTCATTGACTTCAGACATTGTCTAGTTCTGTTCTTTATAATATGTTATATTAATATTCATATTGAGAATTGTATAGAAAATCACCAAGTCCCTGTGAGAGCATTTGCATGTATTGTATGAATCTCACTTTAATTGGATAATACCAGTCTTACTGAAACAAAGAAAAAAATGAAGGCATTATATTTATTGCAGTCATTTCATAGTTAATGAAGTTTTCTAACCATTGCTTCAGTTCAGCTGTTGATAGGTTAACCTAGGTTAAGATGAAGGTTATACAGAGAAACTTGTGATTCTGTTTCTACAATATCTGGCTAAATTTTGATACCTTCAGAATATGCTTATACAATTAGTCTTATGTACATGTGTATGAAGTCTCGATAATTCTCTGTTTATATGTAGGTATATTGAGCACTTCAGTTGTGTTACCAGAATCTGGGTCAGAAACGGAGGAAGAAGAAAGTCCTCACTCAGGGAAAGGTTTGTGTTGGACATGAAATATACGACTTACTCCATATAGAGAGGAAGATGCCTGTGTAACTGGCTCTTTTGAAGTTGGAATAAAATCCATGTATATGCAAATGAATGGTCTCAATTTCTTTAGAGATAATTTAGGCTGCTAATATGATATGATATAAACCAGAAAAATGTGCAGAGGTGAAGCCAAATATTTTTCTTGCCAACATCAAACTATGATTGCTGTAAAATCTAGAACTAAATAAAAGAGACATTCAAAGTTGGATGAATAATGTTTATAGATTTATGATTTTTTAGCTCTACTGGTCAGAGACCAGAAGAGCTTATGCGATAGTAATGCGTCCGGCGTCCGTCCGTCTGTCCGTCTGTCTGTCTGTCTGTAAACAATTTTTCAAAATGCTACTCCTCCTACGGTTTTGATCTGATTTCAGTATAACTTGGCATATAAGTAGACTACACTAAGATACATAATTCTGTGTATCGGATTTTGATTTTGACGAACGGTGTTGGCGTTGTTACTAAAAATAGAAATTTCTGTGAAATTCTTTCAAAATGCTACTCCTCCAACAGTTTTGGTCTGATTTCAATATAACTTGGCACACAAGTACACTACACTAAGATACATAATTCTGTGTATCGGTTTTTGATTTCGACGAACGGTATTAACGTTGTTACTAAAAATAGAAATTTCTGTGAAATTCTTTCAAAATGCAACTCCTCCTACAATTTTGGTCTGATTTCAATATAACTTGGCACACAAGTAGACTACACTAAGATACATAATTCTGTATATCGGTTTTTGATTTCGACGAACGGTCTTGGCGTTGTTACTAAAAATAGAAATTTCTGTGAAATTCTTTCAAAATGCTACTCCTCCTACAGTTTTGGTCTGATTTCAATATTACTTGGCACACAAGTAGACTACACTAAGATACATAATTCTATATATCGGTTTTTGATTTCGATGAATGGTGTAGGCGTTGTTACTAAAAATAGAAATTTCTGTGAAATTCTTTCAAAATGCTACTCCTCCAACAGTTTTGGTCTGATTTCAATATAACTTGGCACACAAGTACACTACACTAAGATACATAATTCTGTGTATCGGTTTTTGATTTCGATAAACGGTGTTAGCGTTGTTACTAAAAATAGAAATTTCTGTGAAATTCTTTCAAAATGCTACTCCTCCTACAGTTTTGGTCTGATTTCAATATAACTTGGCACACAAGTAGACTACACTAAGATATGTAATTCTGTTTATCGGTTTTTGATTTCGACGAACGGTCTTGGCGTTGTTACTAAAAATAGAAATTTATGTGAAATTCTTTCAAAATGCTACTCCTCCTACAGTTTTGGTCTGATTTCAATATAACTTGGCACACAAGTAGACTACACTAAGATACATAATTCTATGTATCGGTTTTTGATTTCGACGAATGGTGTAGGCGTTGTTACTAAAAATAGAAATTTCTGTGAAATTCTTTCAAAATGCTACTCCTCCTACAGTTTTGGTCTGATTTCAATATAACTTGGCACACAAGTAGACTACACTAAGGTACATAATTCTTTATATCCGTTTTTGACTTCAATGAACATTATTACCTTGGTTAATAAAGATAGCAATTTCTGTTACTCTCAAAATGCTACTTCAAATACAGTTTAAGTCTGATTATAATATAATGTGGCATGCAAGTAGACTGCACTAAGAACATAAAGAAATTTATTCAAGGATCATTATTCTCTTTTTTGCTAGTGTAAAGTTTCAATTCCCAACTGCTTAAGTACTTTCCTCTTCCTTTGCTATAAGTACAAACCAGTAGAGCTTCAGTCTCGACAGAGACTTCTGGTTTAACTTGTGCATTTAAAAAAAAAAAAGTTATAAATAATTGTTTAATAATATACTGTAATGCAATAGAAAATCTTTGCAAAGAACTGAAAAACATAACCATTGGAAAGGTCTGGATATTTTTGTTGGTTACCTGATTATTTTTGTTAGGTGTACAGAAGAGGATTGCCAGTGATCTGAGTTTACTACAGGCTCCTACTCAGCGCTTCTTAGCAGAGAGTGATGCAGGTCAGTAAGCACATCCAAATCTCATCTGATTCCATCAACTGTCCAAGTGAAGTAATTACTGAGTGTACAGAAACAGAGTTGTTCCGGTTTTCTTATGTTGGCATTGTAGAATGTGACATATCTGACAAATGGAGTATACATGTATTGATGTCTTCAGCAGAAAGTAATTACTGATGGTATCATTTGTTAAAGGAGGTTGCAAGTTAAAGTTGAAGAAACATTGCTAAATTGTTGCCATTTCAGTTTTCAACACTGTGAAATGGCAAATGTTAATGTCTTATTTTTTTGATAAATGGGAACTATAAAGGACAAAAACCCTTCTCTTCTATTGAAGAGGTACAAATAGACTAAAAAATTACTTCCTCTGTACTTCTCTGTTATTTGTAGAAACCACTGAAGAGGATTCGCCTAAAAAGAGTATCCTTTGTGCTGAAACCCAATCATTCCTTGAAGACAAAAGGTAGATGTAATACAGACATAGGGCATATTTTGGTGCTCTTACTTTCTGAGTTGTTTAGGTGCGAGGTAGGGGGGTGTATTTTTTTCAAGTCAATAGACCCAATTTGTTTTGCAATCCCTCAGGTGAAAATTTGATTGTCTATTGAAAATGAGGCATTTATATGGCACAATATGTGTTATAAAAACTACCGATAAATCACTAATTTTCGTGGGGGGTTAATTTTGGTTGTTTTCGAGGTATGTAGAGACCCATGAATTAATGACCTTCACTAAATGTAAAATTTCATATGCATTAGTACTATAAAACATTTTCAAACCACAAAATGAAATCCCTACAAACCTCCACTCTCCAACCTCGAAAATTTGATCCCACAAAAATGTGCGATTTTACCGTACTTTTTATCTTTTTTCAGAGGAAAGAGTGGTGTCCCACAGGGAATAGTACTTGACAGTGATCACGAAGAAAAGGTAGAATATTTAATTCACAAATTCTCATAGTTTATTTGATAGGCTATCTAAATTTAATTCTCTGGTTCTCAGGCCAATTTTCTCCAAAACAAATGTGGGAGGGTGGCATTTTATTTATCATTTTATTGGCAATAAAGTAGATGAGGGAGGCATTTTTTTTTAGCTCTACTGGTCAGAGACCAGAAGAGCTTATGCGATAGTAATGCGTCCGGCGTCCGTCCGTCTGTCCGTCCGTCTGTCCGTCTGTCTGTCTGTCTGTCTGTAAACAATTCTTTCAAAATGCTCCTCCTCCTACAGTTTTGGTCTGATTTCAATATAACTTGGCAAACAAGTAGTCTACACTAAGATACATAATTCTGTGTATCGGTTTTTGATTTCGATGAACAGTGTTGCCGTGGTTACTAAAAATAGAAATTTCTATGAAATTCTTTCAAAATGCTACTCCTCCTACAGTTTTGGTCTGATTTCAATATAACTTGGCACACAAGTAGACTACACTAAGATACATAATTCTGTGTATCGGTTTTTGATTTCGATGAACAGTGTTGCCGTGGTTACTAAAAATAGAAATTTCTGAGAAATTTCTTTCAAAATGCTACTCCTCCTACAGTTTTGGTCTGATTTCAGTATAACTTGGCAAACAAGTAGACTACACTAAGATACATAATTCTGTGTATCGGTTTTTGATTTCGGTAAACGGTGTTGCCGTGGTTACTAAAAATAGAAATTTCTGTGAAATTCTTTCAAAATGCTACTCCTCCTACAGTTTTGTTCTGATTTGGATGTAACTTGGCACACAAGTAGACTACACTAAGATACATAATTCTGTATCGGTTTTTGATTTCGGTAAACGGTGTTGCCATGGTTACTAAAAATAGAAATTTCTGTGAAATTCTTTCAAAATGCTACTCCTCCTACAGTTTTGTTCTGATTTGCATGTAACTTGGCACACAAGTAGACTACACTAAGATACATAATTCTGTATCGGTTTTTGATTTCGGTAAACGGTGTTGCCATGGTTACTAAAAATAGAAATTTCTGTGAAATTCTTTCAAAATGCTACTCCTCCTACAGTTTTGGTCTGATTTCAATATTACTTGGCACACAAGTAGAGTACACTAAGATACATTATTCTGTATATCGTTTTTTTGATTTCGATAAATGATGTTGCCGTGGTTACTAAAAATAGAAATTTCTGAGAAATTTCTTTCAAAATGCTACTCCTCCTACAGTTTTGGTCTGATTTCAAAATAATTTGGCAAACAAGTAGACTACACTAAGATACATAATTCTGTGTATCGGTTTTTGATTTCGATAAACGGTGTTGCCGTGGTTATTAAAAATAGAAATTTCTGTGAAATTCTTTCAAAATGCTACTCCTCCTACAGTTTTGGTCTGATTTCAATATTACTTGGCACGCAAGTAGACTACACTAAGATACATAATTCTGTATATCGGTTTTTTGATTTCGATAAACGATGTTGCCGTGGTACTAAAAATAGAAATTTCTGAGAAATTTCTTTCAAAATGCTACTCCTCCTACAGTTTTGGTCTGATTTCAAAATAATTTGGCAAACAAGTAGACTACACTAAGATACATAATTCTGTGTATCGGTTTTTGATTTCGATAAACAGTGTTGCCGTGGTTACTAAAAATATAAATTTCTGTGAAATTCTTTAAAATGCTACTCCTCCTACAGTTTTGGTCTAATTTCAATATAACTTGGCTCACAAGTAGACTACACTAAGATACAGAATTCTTTGTATCGGTTTTTGATTTTGATAAACGGTGTTGCCGTGGTTACTAAAAATAGAAATTTCTGTGAAATTCTTTCAAAATGCTACTCCTCCTACAGTTTTGGTCTAATTTCAATATATCTTGGCACACAAGTAGACTACACTAAGATACATAATTCTGTGTATCGGTTTTTGATTTCGATAAACGGTGTTGGCGTGGTTACTAAAAATAGAAATTTCTGTGAAATTCTTACAAAATGCTACTCCTCCTACAGTTTTGGTCTGATTTCAATATAACTTGGCGAACAAGTAGACTCTACTGTACACTAAGATACATAATTCTGTGTATCTGTTTTTGATTTCGATAAACAGTGTTGCCTTGGTTACTAAAAATAGAAATTTCTGTGAAATTCTTTCAAAATGCTACTCCTCCTTCAGTTTTGGTCTGATTTCAATATAACTTGGCACACAAGTAGACTACACTAAGATCCATAATTGTGTTTATCGGTTTTTGATTTCCATGAATGGTGTTGCCGTGGTTACTAAAAATAAAAATTTCTTTGAAATTGTTTCAAAATGCTACTCCTCCTACAGTTTTGGTCTGATTTCAATATAACTTGGCACACAAGTAGACTACACTAAGAACATAAAGAGACTTTATCAAGGATCATTATTCTATTTATTGCTGTTGTAAAGTTTCAATTCCCAACTGCTTAAGTACTTTTCTCTTCCTTTGCTATAAGTACAAACCAGTAGAGCTTCAGTCTCGACAGAGACTTCTGGTTTAAATTTTAATTTTCGAATTTTCTTTAAAGTAAAGATATTTTTTTTATTCACAGATATATACTTTCCATGTCTGATCAAAAGGTTTGCTTTATCTATTGCTTATCAGCGTGTGAACATTGTAGGCAATGTCTTCAAATGGATTTTCAACCGAAGTAGCCAAAATCTCATTGTAAATGGCTACCGGAATGATATTTGAATACTAAACTACAAAAAAATACGGACGGAACTGTTTTTTCTGGATTAGCAAAAATACAATAAAATTAGCAATGCGGCTACCTCAAAACAGATGCACGCGGGCCTGAGAACCAGAATTTCAATTTTATGTAGCCATAGCTATTTTTGAAGAAAATATTATGTTGAAGTGACTCAAAAAAATATTTTTAAGCATTTTATTGTTGGGCAAGATATTTTCGTGCATAATTTTACTGAAGATAAACCTTGAAATGTCAGTAGCAGTTTGCTCAGTCTGATAAAAATACAACTGTACTTAGATCTTTGTGTATTTGTGATTGAGTTTTGAATTATAATGTGACTGCCTTGATCTTTATGAATATTTTTATGCCCCCCTTCAAAGAAAGGAGGGCATATTGCTTTGCTGCTGTCAGTTGGTCCACTTAGTTTCTGTTAATTTTCATCACAACCATTGCACATACTGTAAAGAAATTGGTATGCAGATTTATCAGATAAGTATCCAGGTCAAGTTCTGTTTTGGGGTGGATTGAGCCATTTTTGACAGAGTTATGTCCCATGGACTTAGAAAAATTCCAATTATATGCGGTTTCCGTTCATTTTCTTCGCAGATGTTGCACATATTGAACTGAAATTTGGTATACAGATTTATCAGATAAATATCTAGGTCAGATTTTATTTTGGATGTGATTGGGCAATTTTGAACAGAGTTATGCCCTTTGGACTTAGAAAAATTCCAATTATTTGCACTTTTTGCTCATTTTCTTTGCAGAGGTTGCACATATTGATATGAAATTTAATATAAAAAATTTATCATAAAAATATCTGGGTGAAGTTCTGTTTTGGTTACGATCTAGCCACTTTGGACAGAGTAATTCCCCTTGAACTTAGAAATATTCTGATTATTTTGGGGAGGGGAGCACAAGTGTTTTACAAACATTGCTTATTTTGGTTGAGATTTGAATTACAACAGTGGGATGAGGACATCCCTGTGTATTTGTGGTTGATATTTATGTTATAAATGTAGGATGAGGACATCCCTGTGTATTTGTGGTTGATATTTACATTATAACTGTAGGATGAGGACATTCCTGTGGTTGATATTTACATTATAACTGTAGGATGAGGACATTCCTGTGGTTGATATTTACATTAAAACTGTAGGATGAGGTCATCCCTGTGGTTGATATTTACTTTATAACTGTAAAATGAGGACATTCCTGTTGTTGATATTTACATTATAACTGTAGGATGAGGACATCCCTGTGGTTGAGGTGGAGGAGGAGGAGAATGAGGAAGAAGAGGCAGACATGAGTCACTTGTTTGCTAATCCGACCCTGGCCAGCGATCTTCCAGAGGATGTCAAGGACACTGAAGAGGAAGAGGATACTGTGACAGATGAGGGGGATCAAGAGGCTGAGACTCAGGTTTTCACTGACCAGACAGTGGCTGTCAGCGATGAAACGGTGGCTGTCAGTGACGCGACAGTGGCTATCAGTGAAGATACATTGGTTAAGAATAAAAGCAGGGGAAAAGGAGGGAAGAAGTATGGAAGAACCTCCAAAAGTACTCCAATTGTGGAGGTAGAATTAAATGAGGATGAAGATGAGGCCACACAGAAGATTTCTGACATAACTGATGGTGCAACACTTGCTGTTTGTAATCAGGCTGAGAATGAAGCCACTCAGGTTTTTGACAATAAAATGAAGGAGGCAGAGACTGTAGCCATTGAATGTGAGGCCACACAGGTCTTCAATGATAAATCAGCTGACGCTGAGACTGTAGCCATAGAATGTGAGGCCACACAAGTATTTAACTATAAATCAGCTGAGACTATGGCCATAGAATGTGAGGCCACGCAGGTCTTTGATGAAAAGACTTCAGAAGCAGAAACTGTTGTGTTTGAATGTGAGCAAGGTGATGAGAAAATGGCGGAAGCAGAGACAGTAGCTGTTGAATGTGAAGCAACTCAAGTTTTTGATGATAACAAGGCAGCAGAGGCAGAAACTTTGGCCATGGATGGAGCCACCCAAGTGTTTGATGACAAGCCAAGTGGGGATGAAATGGGAGACAGTGATTCAACTCAAGTGTTGGGTGAAAAAAATTTGGACGCTGATGTCATACCAGCAGAATGTGAAGCAACACAAGTATTTGACTATGATGAATTGAATATTGTAAAGAGAAAAAGTGATTCTACAGCAGAAACTGTTGCTCTAGAATGTGAGCCTACGCAGGTATTTGATGAAGGAACAGACAGTGGACCTAGGACAGCTAGGTCAGACAGAAACACCGAAGCGGAGACTGAAGACCATTCGGAGCCTAAACAGTCTACTGAGGAGGATCAAACTGTTAAAAAGAAAGGCAGGGGCAGGGGCAAAAAATCTACAGCAGAATCCAAACCAAAATCTGAAGTCACTGTGGATTCAGAGGAAATTCAACCAAAGAGAAGTGGCCGCATATCCAAAAGAAAGTCATTAGCTGTGGAAGAAAAACCTGTGGAAAAAGCTCAGGATACCACAACCAAGAAAGGAAGGGGCAGAAGGGGAAAGGGTGGCAAGAATACGGCTGATGTCACAGAGGAGTCGGGAGGGAGGGGTGAAGAGGTCACAAAGGAGGAGACTGAGTCTGACTTTACCACAGAGAAAACGACAGCAGAGGAGGGGGAAGTGGACGGCAGGGTGAATGACACAAACTCAGACACAGGTAAGGGACTGCCATATGTATAAACTCACCTGTCTCTCCAATCAAGGTTTAAAATTAAAGGTTTTGATCTTTTGCATGTTGGTGAATTGGAGGCAATGAGTAGTGTAACATTATACCCACATTTGATCTTGTGGCAGGGAATATACATGCATTATGTGCATTTTTGTCAGAAATGTGTATGTTTGTGTATATGTTATAAATACAGATATTTGACATGTGGGCATCAGTTTATAGTAGGCATTCTCTGAAAGTCTACAATTACTGTAGGTAATACCTATAATTCAGTACTAGTACTGGCAGATTAACACCTTGTTTTACTGTATTGTGTTTTAACACAGGTGTAGAGGAGATAGCCCAGACTGTACCGTATACAATGGTGTGTGATGATGAAGACTTACAACCCACACAGGCCTATTGTATGGAGGAAGGTGATTATATAAAGAGTTATTAGTCTCCCCAAAAATTAAAGTTTCTAAGACGCTGCTACATCAGGTCAAACAGTGCTGCATGGTAAATTTTTTTGACCCCCCCCCCCAAATCTCTAGAAATATTTACAAAATTCTGGAATCGATTGTTGCAGATGTAAAAAATTGGCAGACCTTTAATCAATTTAAGGTACAGACCAGTGTAAGGTTCATAAACCCTCTGCTCACTGATATAAATTGTTTGAACCTTAATGATTTTCCAAAAGAAATGTATTTTATAAGTAAAATACAAACAATTATGAAATAGCTTGTGGGGCAAATTGGACAGGAAAGACACTTCAACTTGGCAAATCTATAAACGTTTATGTCATTAAGAGATCTCTCTTATCAGAGTATCAATGAACCTGAAATCTTGTTACAATTTATCATACGACATTCAAGTAGTTTTTAATTACAATATTTAGAGATGAGAAATGTGCTATTCATATTTAATAGAAGTTTATTATAATGAATCCATCATAGTTCCATTTTTTAAAAAAAAAAACTAATGTGGGTATTATCTTTACTATTTATTATATTAATGAAAAATTCGACAGATGATGAAAGTACTACACCGCCAATCTCAGAAGTACTGGGAGTAGAGGTCAAGGATGGAACGCCAGTTGAACCAGTTAAAATGGTACAAGAAATACCAGACGTTTTGGTAGGATATCATAATACATTTTTTAGTTATTAACTCCATTTTTTAGGTTACCTGAGTAAACTCAGATGACCTATTGCTATCCGTCTTCGTCTGTCGTCGTTCGTCGTGTGTTAACATTTGAACATTTTCAGCTTCTTCTCTGCAACCACTCAACCAATTTCCACCAAATTTTACATAAAGCATCTATGGATAAAGAGGAACATAAATTGTGAATTTCATGGTCCCTGCCCCCCTGGGGCCTGAGGGGTGGGGTTCAAACCACTATAATTAGTGCAATCTTTAAAAATCTTCTTCTTTACTCTTGGACATCAAGCAGTCAAACTGTCAACATGAATGTAATGACCATTGAGTCCTCTACCAAAATTTTGAAATTCATGGCCCCAGGGTCAGGGGTTCTAGTGCTAGGGCAGGGCTCTATTGATTATAAAGTGAAAATGCATTATTTCTTTAAAAATCTTTTTCTCTGCTCCTGTGTATTAAATAAACTAACCCAAGTACATATTTATGATGAGGAAGAATGCCTTTTCCAAAATTGTGAATTTCATGGCCCCAGGGTCAGGGGTTCTGGTGTTAGGGCGGGGCTCTATTGATTTTATAGAGAAAATTGAGAATTTGTTTGAAAATCTTCTTTTCTGCTGCTGGCTATTCAACAAACAAACAAAGTATATAGTTATGATGAGCAAGAATGCCTCTTCCAGAATTGTGAATTTTATGGCCCCAGGGTCAGGGATTCTAGTGTTGGGGGGATCTATTGATTATATAGAGAAAATGCAGAAATTGTTTGAAAATATTCTTCTCTACTGCTGGGTATTCAACGAATTAACTAATTATATAGTTATGATGAGCAAGAATGCTTCTTCAAAAATTGTGAATTTTATGGCGGCAGGGTCAGGGGTTAAGGTGGGGCTCTATTGATTATATAGTGAAAATACATTAATTCTTTGAAAATCTTCTTCATTGCTACTGGGTATAAAATAAACTAACTAAGAACATATTAATGATAAGGAAGAATGCCTTTGTGAATTATATGACCTTAGGGTCAGGGGTTCTTTTGTTAGGGCGGGGCTCTATTGGTTTAATAGAGAAAATGCAGAAATTGTTTGAAAATCTTCTTCTCTGCTCCTGGGTATTAAGCAGATGAACTACCTTCATAGCTATGATGAGCAAGGGCCATTCTTCCTGAATCATGAATTTCAATGCCCCTGGGTCAGGGGTACCATGGGGGGGGGGCTCTACTTATATACTGAAAATGAATTAATTGATTGAAATCTCCTCCTTTCTATTAATCAAACATTTTTGACAAGCAAGGGTGCCTTTTCCAAAATTGTGAAATGTGTGGACCATGGGTCAGGGGTTCATGTGTGGTAGTAGCACTACTGATTATTGCTTTAAATATTACTGATTAGTTGAGATACATTTTCTTTGTTCCCCTACTCTGTCTATGGGTCTTAAGTAACCTAACTAAACATGCTAAGTGTATAGTTATGATTAGCAATGGTGCTTCTTTCAAAATTGTGAATGTCATGATGTCTAGTTTAAAACATGAACCAAAGTCATTCGTTGTAAAGTTGTTGCATGATGCTCAGGTGACCTATAAGGCCCATGGGCCTCTTGTTGTTGAATCAAAATGGCAATAATGATAGAAGAATTTTTCTCACAGACTGTTTAAAAAGAATGAATTATAAATTGTTCAGAAATGTGATCTTGTGATCATGTTAACATACACAGTCAAACCTGTTTCTAGTATCCAAAATATTTTTACACGATGATGGAATTCACCTGTATTAAATTTGATAGACATACATGTATAAAGTGTATTTTATTAGCTCTTCTGAGCCAAAGGCTCAAAGAGCTAATGCTATGGTCATTTGTGCGGTGTGCGTAAACTTTTTAGAATATGGGCCATAACTCAAGAACCCCTTGGCCAATCAGTACCAAATTTGTCACAGGGTATTCTTGGCCCAAGGACTACCATTTATACTAAAATTAGGGTTGGGACCCTTAAACAAGGGGAGATAATCAGGAAAACAAAACCAAAAGTACTGGTTGCTAAAAAATCTTCTCCATAACCACTAGGCAGATTTTCACCAAACTTACATACAAGGATCAGGATATGTCGAAGATTAAAATTTGCACGGTGAATGACCCTGGGGCAAAGGGCGTGGTCTCAAGGTCACTTCAAAGTTGACATAAATGTACAATTAATAAAAACATGTATAATTTGCTTACTATAAGGACTAGGATAATCAAATCTTGTAAGTTGATGCATCTTACGACTTCACATCATGTTAACTCAAAAGTAGGTCACGGTGACCTACATTTTAAATTTTGCGGGGATTTGTTTTCAAATTTGAAGGCATATTTTGGACACTTTAAGGCCTATGATCATCAATCTTTGTCAGTTGATGCATCTTGGGTCCTCGAACAATGTCAACTTAAAATTAGGTCACCGTGACCTACTTTTTGAACTTTATGACTTATCCTTTTAAAAACATTAAATCCTATTATTTCATACACTGGGAGGTTTAGAATCATCAAATCTTGTACTTTGATGCATCTTGGGACCTTAAAACATATTTATGAAAAAGTAGGTCACTGTGACCTACTTTTTGAATTTTGCCGACATTTGTTTTCAAATTGTTTAAAATTTTGATTACCTTCAGACCTACGATCATCAAACTTGGTCAGTAGATGCATCTTGGGTCTTTGAAAAATGTCGACCAAACTGTAGGTCAGGATGACCTACTTTCGACATTTTATGTCTATATTTAAGTATCTTAGGTATTTATGGGCTTAGAATCATCAAACTTTGTGAGTCCATGCATATTTGGTTTTCAGAGAGTGACAACCTAAAAGTAGGTCACGGTGACCTACTTTTGACATTTTATGGCTATATTTAAGTATCTCAGGCACTTATTGGCTAAGAATCATCAAACTTTGTCAGTTGAGGCATCTTGGGTTTTCGGAGAATGTCGACCGAAAAATAGGTCACAGTGACCTACTTTTGAATATCTCAGGTATGTATAAGCTTAGAATCATCAAACTTTGTCAGTTTAGGCAACTTGGGTTTACGGAGAATGTCGACCAAAAAGTAGGTCACTGTGACCTACTTTTGACATTTTATGGCTATATTTAATTATATCTGGTACTTATTGGCTCAGAATTATCAAACTTTGTCAGTTGAAGCATCTTAGGGTTTCATTGAATGTCCAACAAGAAGTAGGTCACGGTGACCTAATTTTGAATATTTCAGGTATTATTGGCTTATAATCATCAAATTTTGTCAATTTAGGCATTATGGGTTTTTGAATAACATCGACCAAAAAGTAGGTCACCGTGACCTACTTTTGACATTTGATGGCAATTTATAATTATCTCTGGTACTAATTGGCTTAGAATCGTCAATCTTTGTCAGATGATGCATCTTGGGTTTTCAGAGAATGTTGACCAAAAAGGTCATGATGACCTACTTTTGAATATCTCAGGTACTTATTTAATTAGAATCATCAGTCTTTGTCAATTAATGTATCTTGAGTCCTCAGAAAATTTCAATCAAAAGGTAGGTCACTGTGACCTACTTATGGTATTTTATAATTATATTGTAATATCTTCAGTCTTAACTGGCTAAATATTGTAATATGCATGGGGTTTGGACTTTAGAATTTTTGCATGTTAATTGCACTGACAGGCTGATGGTGGAGTGTTTTTTACTGAAGTGAAGTTGCATCCAGTTGTTAATTTATTAGAAATGTTTTATTGTTCATGTTACTTCATTACTTTATTGTTTACTTAAATTATTGATGCAATACACATTGCACTTCAACATTGATATGTAAACAAATGCTGTTTTTGTATTACTAGACGATCTAGGGAGGTCTTGTTGAACAGACAGTAAGGGACAGTAATACTAAGATGTTGTATGTCAGTTTTTCATCATTATCTACCATATTACGACTGTAATTTACTTACTTATTTCAGCATTATCACATATGTTGTAAATTGACGGTTCTGCCATCTTTCTTACGAAGAAAATAGTCATGTGACATAAACATTGTTGTTTTACAATTGATAAGATCGAAATAACACTGTCCGTGTCCTCAAATATTCATAATTGATACTTAAATGTTATTTTATTGCAGTATTGTCATTTAATTATGTTTTATTTGACGAAATGTTTTGGAACTTGAATGTGTAGCGTAATACTTATGTGTTTGCATTATTGTTCGGTATTACTACGCTGTGGATTGTGCGTGTCCGTTTTATTATAGATTGTTTCTTGAACTTATTTTATCAGATTTGAATAGAATTTATAGCTCCCACTTTCCATGTAGAAAGGACATTTTGAGCGACATTATTTTCTTTGTTTTACACAATATGTATGTAAAGTAGTTCTTAGAGGCTTCAGAGAGGACAATTATTCATTGGTTTGTTGTGATCACGTGACCATTATAGAAGGTTATATATACGAGCAGCGAACGCCAGTTTCATAACGAGGATCACAACGATCAGATCATATTACGTCATCAACATCACTGACTGTAAATTACTAGCGACTTAGGTATGAGAAAATAATGTAAATTAATACAAATTAAGTAGCGTATAATTTCTCCACCGCACGGACACCGCAATCCACTTTATTTTATTAGGCCAGAGATGTTTTAAAGCTAGGACTTAGACTCGTATAGATCTGTACTGACTGTTTTGTTATATTTCATTGAAGTCTTTATTAAATGAAATATTTAAAACGAGAAATGGAACTTGGTTATGATTTACAAGGATGTGGATGTGAAGTAAATTA